TGAGATTTATTGTTAATGTAAAGTGATATTGCAATTAACACAAAATAAATGATTTTTTTCATTGATAGTGTAGTGTATAATAAGGGACAATCACTATCATTTACATTAGTGTTGAACCTGACAATTTCTTGATTATTCTATAACATGAAAATTATAGGAGAGTAAAATTATTTCATTATTGAACATGTTTTGAATTAAAACATTAAAATTCACTTGTCTAAATAAACTAAAAAACCTCACATTTTTAACATGTGGAGATAAGACAAGTAAGAAGGAGACGACGAAGGAATATTAAATTTTAATTAAGTCATTATTTTATAAGATTTTCTATTTCAATTTTTTTCACACATAAGTTAAAAATATATGTTAATATTAAATAATTTATAAAATTAATTTTTATATAAACTAATTTAATATAGGAAAATGATTTCATAATCTTTTTTTACAAATGTTTCTAGAAAATTTAATTCAAATATATCTTATATATATATATATAGTAGTTCTGATAATTTTTAAATAATACCTATATTTGGTAGAGAAGAAAGAAATAAAGAAGGGGAAAGAAAGAGAAATGAAGTAAAATAAAAGAGAAATAAATGAAAATTGAAGTTGTTTAACTGAAAAAAAAAGAAAAAAAGAAAAATGTGTGAAAAAATTAATGTAAGAAATTGCAAATTTTAAAATAAGTGTTCTTAGAAGCATCTTATTTTTCTTTTCATTACCAGCATTAAGGACTTATAAATAACTATTTGTAATTTAATTTACTCTTTCAATGTTATTAAATTCGTTTTAATCCACAACCATTTTTTTCAAAACAAATTTTCTAGCAAATACGCAAAATCTAAAGCACTAAATAAACCTCTTTTATGAAAAAAAAAAGATTTGGATAAAGTAAAGTGGATGAACTGAATTCATTAATCTTTACACACAACAACACATGCATCTTGTGGGTTTCCTATGTTTCAAATTTGTGTTCATATCCAACATGAGCATGCTTGTTTTATAAGTTAGGATGGATCTTAATAAAAGAATTCATAGGTTGTCCCAACTTCTAAAACACATTCATCATGCGTAGAAGATCATAATTCCCTCATGAAAAGGGCACCTAAAATCATCTTCATCACATGTAATCTTTAAAGAGTTGAACTTATCCAATTTAATTTTTATTTTAACATGATTTTGAAGACAAATTTATAGTTAAATCACCCTTTAAATCCTCTAAATATTATTGTCTCATGGTTATTTAGATAGATTTTTTTAAAATTATGCTATTTAAAAAAATGTTATACAAACTTAAACTAATAAAATTGCTTTAAGACATGTGAATTCATATTAGTTTTCAAGGACTCGTTTGCATAATGTATTGAGCAAGTCATTTGAAACTTTAAGAAGTCAAAAACTCTTAGAAAAAAAGAAAGAAAGAAAGGTGATTAAGAAATGAGTCTCTAGACAAATAAACTTCAGAAATAATATGAAATGAGGTGAGTTTAAGTCAATAATAGTATATATTTTTTTATAAATATTAAATTAATTCTAAAAGGGGTTTTGAACTAATTAATTAGAAATATTTAGCTCTTATTAAATACCAATCAAAGTCAAAATATATAATGTTCAGTAAGTTGAATAAGTAAAATACATAATCCCCTTAAATTAAATGATAAGAGAGGAAAATATATATTTTATAGACTGAAATTGATTTTTAGAGAAGTTCATATAAGAAAATTGTTACAAATTAATTTACACATTAGTCAAATTTTAATTTATATACTTTGATGATGAAAGGAAAGAAAAGTCTTGAAAGATAAGCAACTAGTGAACAACACTTACAAGATTTAGGGAGAATCATTGGTATTTTAATTTTAAGATAATAGTCATATTTTCACACAATCATGGTCAAAGCCGTTTTCTAATGGACACGTTTTATCTTTTTACATGTTAGTCATGAGAATCATCAAGTTTTTTCTTTGCCAAAACTTTAGATCACCCATAAGAACTAGTGTTCAAAACATTTTGTACATCTATACAAATTGACAAATTTTGTTTTTAAAATTAATTATAGTGTTGTATAGTGTAGCTGATCACGCAAACCATTGATGTATTGAATATGAACACAAATAAAATAAGGAATTAAAAGGTTGATTCAGCAAACTTCCTGCAGAAAATCTTGAAATGGTTTTGTCTTGTACCCAAGTGGACAAGTTACTGGTAAGCAGTTATCTGTGGCATTGAAATTTTCTGCAAGTCTTTCATTTTTTGATGAAATTCAATGAGAAAGACATTAGAAGTGGATTTATATGGCAGATTATGTATTAGTTTTTTTCCTCATACATCCTATTTATTGGAATAAAATGTCAAGAATACCAACAAAAATAATATAATAATAAATAACCTGATAAAAAATAAATAACATAATAAATTCAAAAAATAATAAATTTTATTAAAATAAACTTTAAATTTTAAACCTAATAAACTAAACTAAATATTAAAAAATGAATTCTAAACCTAATAAAGTAATTAATAATAAACTTGAAAAACAATAAATCTTACTAAAATAAATTTCATACCAAAGTAAATTCTAATGTACAAAATCAAAATTTAAACTTTTACAAAACCGGTTTATAAATGTAAAATAAAATTTACAAAGCTTACAATTAAAAAAAAGAAAAACATTCAATGGTACATAAATAAGTAACTAGTTTGTACAAGTGGAATAGCCTTTGATATTAGATACAGAAATAGAAGTTTTAGGTGCATAGAATAGAAAACAACAATGTAATACAAAATTCATATCTTCATAGCCACAAAGCCGGGCTGCTTGTTCACTAAAACTTTCACACAGCCTGGTTTTGTGACTGTTTCCTAGTCGCTATCTTCAACACAACACAAGGATGTTCCAAGAAATATTCTCAGTGCATGAGCACTGCAGCCTCTTGCACAAGAGGCTGTGTAATATGCACAAAATGCTCTGCCTCCCTTTCCATCTCTTCCCAACATTTCTTTGCTCTTTTCCCTTCTTTCATCTTCTTCACAAACGCCACAAACTTCCTCCAGTTATCTGCTTCAAACAGATGAGGGTTCATCCTCAGGTATGTGAATGCACACATCTCTCTGTCACCAGACTCACCGTCCACATTCAACTCTGATGCCCTTATGATCTGTTCGTGAGCGTATTCATCATAGCGTGGCAGTGCATTTTCCCCAGCAAGTGCCACCTGAGCCTTCTGTGTTGCCAGAGCCACTTGCTTCACCAGCTTCTCAGGAGCACAGAGGGCATTCTGTGGCTGCTCGTGATCGCGCATCTCGATACAGGTGAAGTTGAAAATGGCACCATGGCGTGCCAACATCTGAGCAATGGGGAGGTAGCCATCACGGAAACGGGTGTTGTAATACCCTGCTGTGAGTTCTGGAGCATGAGACCTTGAACCGTAGTGCCAGTGAATGCCAGCAATTTTCACTGAGATCTTAACTCCAGTGTTGTCAAAGATTGACTTGGCTGATGTTAGAATCCTATCACCATGGTCCAGCAGCATCTGAGAGTACCATGTGAGGAAAAACTCACCATATGGACCATCCCAGCCTCCACCTTCTTTGCGGAAAAATTGTGTGTCTTCTGGCCAGTTGTTATAGTTGCCAGCATCGGTAGGGCCAGTGCTTCCCCATTCTGGCTTACCCTGAGCTTCAGCAGCAGCTTTTAAGCTTTTCAGCATATACTGCACCACACCGCATAATTAAACATTAGAAATACAAAGCAAAGCAAAATCTGTATAGTCTTTGGATAAATTTATCAGCATTTGTAAGAAACTAAGAAAGAAAGAAAATAAATTGAATTTCTTATGCGATAATGTTTTTAGTTAAGTTAGATGTATGCTTCTGTATAAGTTAAATACAAAAAAACGATTTCAACTAATTACATAGACAAACTGAATCCATTTTTCGATAAAATGCCTTTTAGATTATTATTTTTATATTTAAAAATTAGTATTTTTAAAATGTGGTCCAAGTAAATGAAGGATTTAGGTACAATGTATTTTGGATCCATTATTTTTACATTAAAAAAAGGATATCTTTTATTCTTGTATTTCTGAAATGTGGTCCAAGTAATAATAAAAATAAGAAAAATAGGTTTAGGATAAAATGTGTTTTGGGTGCATTATTTTTATATAAAAAAAATAATATTTTTGGTTCTTGAATTCCTTAAAATGTGGTCCCAAGCCAAATAGATATGAAACATAAGGTTAGAAATGAAAATCAACCACATTTATAAAAATATCAACCTACAAAAAAATCATATAGAGATCAAAATTACCCGTTTTGAAATATAGGGCTAAAATAAATTTTTGGCAAATATTGAGATATTTAGAATACATTTTCGAAGAAAAGCAATTATATACAGAGGGCAAAAAAGTATAAGGAAAACAAAAACCACAAGTATACCTTGTCAAAGCATTGAAAAGCACCAATTCCTGGGAATTTCCATGTCCCGTTTTGCTCCGGGTAAGAAGGGTAGCGCAGCTCACCGGCTGGTCCCATCCCAACTTGAATTTCCTGAATTATGCCAGTAACAGGATTTCAGGTAAGAAGTTAAGGAGCACATAACAATTTCAGGTAAGAAAAATTCTACACAGAGGGTGACAGTTATTTACCACTATAGTATCACCAAGGAGGTCCTTGAAAGTGTCTCGGAAAGCACGCATGAAATCAGCGTAACATTGAACTGGGGTTCGGCCCTTGAGCACAGGCAAAGTATCACATCCCAGTGATACATATTCATAATTTCTTCTTCCCCATTGATCAGTGTATGCAAGATCGTGATCGTTGTTAATTTCCTCCACAACCCATTTGGGCAAGGGAATACTACAGACAAGAACAACAATCTCATAAGCCCACAAAGAAACAAAT